CTAACCACACAATCTATCGCCTTCTCAGTCACGTTGCAGCTCACGAGTGCCAGCGCTACTTGTAATGCTTCTTCCTTACATCTGACAGTGTTGTCTATCCGTCATAGTGGCGGCAGGGAACGTGAGCATCATGTTCTACATGCTGAATATAAAATGAATAGTTTGACATTTTGGGAAAAATGCTCATTCACTTTCTTGCAGTAATCTTCTCATCGAACTCTCAGCAAGGAAGTGAATGAGTGTATTTCTCAAACTGTAGAACAATTCCTTTGAGCACTGGATTGCCCCCCTGGTGCCTCCATATTTAAAAAAAAAAAAAGCAGCAGAAGGGCCACCTTGGAAGCCCCTGTGGTAGATAAAACATGATATATTGCCCTCCAGGGTGCCCTTAAAGTGGACAAAACACGATAAAGTTTCCTTTTGGGTGCCTTTCCAGTGGAGAAAACATGATAAAGTGCCTTTGGGTGGTAGGCCTAACCCTGACTAAGTCTTCTTAAAGTCTCCTCTTGCTACCCCAGGAGTATTTCTCTAGATACGCCCCTGGGCTTTGGCCAATCCTGAGTGGAGCTGGGTCCGGTTTTAATGCAGACTGTGGAGTCACTTGCAGTCCAGATTGTACGTGGGTGCAATTTGCTGATATTTATTATGTGAAGTTGCGTATTTATTTCTGTAACATGTATTTTTTTTTTTTTTTGCCTGTTTATGTTGCAATTCACCTTTTTCTTGTGTCTTTAAAGGTCCCGTGTGTAACATTTAGGAGGCTCTATAGGCAGAAATGGAATATAATATTCATAGGCATGTTTTTATTAGTGATTATAGGAATTATTGTGATTTCGTTACCTTAGAATGAGGTGTTTTTTATCCACAGACGATGCAGCCCAGAACAGACACCAAAAACTGGCTCTAGATGAGGCCTTTCGTGTTTTTCGTAAGTTTCCAAAGTTTCTTCTACACACTTCACAGCCCATTCTCATTCCCAGGTTGTCAAATACAGAGGTGAGTGGTGTTCATTTAGTTGCAATCTAAAATAAGTAGATGCCACTAAATCCTATTCACTGGTCCTTTAATAATAAAGTCTTACTACTATTGTGTACTGTGTTTCAGTGTGTTATGTGTGGTTTTCAAAATGAATTCTATGGAAATGTCTTTGATGAGTAGCCGCCAGTTATTGGTGTTCTCATCTCTCAAACAGTTTTCCAGCTATCAGTGTGCATGCTTTCACACGCACCAAACCAAACAAGCCACATTTATGAGGAAAGAGAGAGTACGGCTTAAGGGAGGAGGCTGGCATGAATAGAACAATGTCTGAAAAGTAGCAGGAGTTACCACGCTCCGGTCTGTCTGATGTTAAATTCAGCCTAACTAGTCCTCCGAGGAAGTGCGCCGCTGCCCTGCTTGCATGCAGGGGGAGTGTCTGTTTGCACAGGTCTCTGTCAGTTAACACTAATCTGCCTGATCTCCACCTCAAAGTCACTCACTTCTCCACATGCAAATAAACATATTCAGCCCTCTTTCAAACCAAAGCCACTATCAAACACTTGTTTGATCAGCAGAGGGCCTGCGAGGCAGTTCATTATGCATTTGAAAAAGTGCCCTGCCCCCGCCTTGCAGGCAGAGAACTCATTGTTGCCAGGTTTTTATGTAATTACTCTCACCTTCAGCGGTGGATGGGAACAACTGCCTCCACAGCAGACTGAGGGGTAAGCTGTTATATTTGCAGATTGGGCCAATATACTGTACTCTCACATTGCCCTACATTCTTTGCTGCATAGATCGATTCAGAACATGAATCCCACCCACACTTCCTTCAACCATAATCCTCAGAACTTTGGATTTGTGTACCAGAAGAACTTGAGGGATGAAAGGGTGCTTTCATTGCATTCTCTGATAACACTTTGGTCTAGGAAAACTTGCAGCTCTCTCTGTAAAGTTTTTTTCTTCAATAACCCTAACTCCATGTTACATCTTCAGCCGCAACAAAGCTGTTTTAGTTGTCACGATGCACCAACTATTTCTCTTCTGAGGTACAGCCAGAGGAGGCAGAACTCTCCAAAAGGTGACAGATTTACATTTAGAGCAGCTGTCTAATGAGAGAAGCAAGTGCCAAGAATCAGTATGGGTCTAGAGCATTAGGAGCATACATGTTGGAAGAAACCCACCCACCCTCGAACACTAGCCAAATTCCTTTGTGTGTATGTTGTGCGTCATGTATGAGTCTGTGACATTGAGAGGCTAAGCGCTGCTCTCCAAACAGACAGGCCTGAACTAGTAAACAGGTGCTGCCGGAGCAGCTGAGGATGAGGACATGGGGCGTCTCCACAAAGCCTGATCAAAGAGGAGCTGCCTCAGCCGCCAGTCATCCCTGCAACTTGATTTATGTCACTGTGTCAGAGAACTTTATGACTGTTTGCAGAAAAGCAGCAGACAAAGTAAAGGTACACAGGTTCCTCCACTGCTGCGCTTGCAATAACATGGCACAGAGAAGAAGGTGGAGTCACTTATCGATAGAGAAGCATAGTTTTAATGTTTTGACTGGCTTCTTTTCCATTTCCCCTCTGAACCTGAATCAGTCTTTTTACGTGCAGAGGAGGCTTCATTGTTCTGTCATTTCAACTTTATGTTTGTAACACCGCTCGGTTCCACAAAGACACTTAACATCAGCTCAATTACTGAGTGTGAAAAGCTGAAAATCCTGGCTTGCTGGTGAGGCAGTCAGATTAAATTAAATCAAGTAATCATCAGTGGTTTGATGCTGTTTCAACAACACTGATCACAAGCAGAAGCTCCTTTTTGCCAACACATCAATACCCGAAGCCGCTATCTCCTGCATGGCACAGCAGAGGGAATGAGGAACAGGAAGTGGATGAGTGTGAGGTGACGGCATTCGGCAGGGTGGGAGTTTATAGATATGTGGGTCTGAGATTCATCAGCCTTACTCACATGGCTGTGTCGGGATTCCCCGCTTCGCCTAGTAAAACGTGTCATCACAAGGAACAACGTTTAATGATCAGCGACACCAGACGAAAGATGTTTCACTCTGCCGAGAGACACGCCTGTCTTGATAACCTGTGATCTGATGAAATAACATCTATACTTTTAAAAGCCTAAATCCAGCGATACATACAGTGGAGTGTGATTTCCAAAAAAGAAAAAAACTTTCTTGCCAGCAATACTTTGCCCTTGCTCTGAGCAGGATTTTTCTCTTTGAAGAGAAGAGAAGAAGAGAAGTGAAGCCTGCTTGGCTGAAGAAGCCCTGGAGGGGGGTGGTAACTGTCATTTATATTTACAGCCTTCCCAGACACCTCGGGGGCTGTTATCCAGGTGGCCTCTGTTGAAGCTCTCAGAAGCACTCACACCTTTTTCGCAACTCAGAGTATCAATAGACACTGGCTGACTTTGATTCAGCCACATAAAGGTTGTGAGTCATGTGCTTTTGACTGTTAAAACGGGTTGGGTTGATGCTGGAACTTGAATGCCCTCCGGGATAAAGCATTACTGCACTTCTGAAACTTTATTAGGCCAGGGAGGACTCTCTACCATAGGGTTTAACTCTCAAAAAATACTTGAAAGTGAGGCACATAAAGGTAGAAACAGTCTCAAAAACTGCATATTTTTTCATAAACTAAAAACTTCATTCTTATTGTGCTTACTAATCTATCAATATGTGTGTTTTCGCCTTGAATGGCTGACATACTTGTACTACGCTTAATCAATGACTTTTAAGTATCCATGTTTTCCTGTTGCTCTGACAGCACTGTCAAGACAAAAGTCAATTGCCATCGCCTAGATTCAAGACTAGACTTGTGGCTCTCGGAGCACGTACCTCGAAACTGTTGACAGTGTACGGCTCGTTTAACGCCAAATGTCTCAGGATACCACCACAGTGTATTCAGTTTGCTCACGCTTTAGAAAGCCTCTTCAGTCAATATGTAACTACTTCAAATCCAGGCCAGATGTGTCTTTAGAAATGTCACTATGCCCCACTGATAAGAAGAGAAGAGATGACAGATATTCTGTATTTTTGGTTTGCAGCGATCCTCCATTCAAAGTCAGACCCTTCAAACAGTCTAATCCTGTCCTGAATGAGAGCTGGATTATTGTATAACCCCTTCATTGATAGGCAACCGACACATGCAACACAGTGAGAGAGAGAGAGAGAGAGAGAGAGAGAGAGAGAGAGTGGGAGAGGAAGAGATTGGACTAAAATAAAAGTTGTGTATCCACTTTAACTGAGGTGAAAAGCGTTATAAACCTCCAACATTAATGCATGATAATAGGTTTAAGGTGCAGCTATATAGTCGGACATTTTGGTAGAATAAACACAACCTGCAAGATGTTGATTTGTCCTTTTCATGACATCATCACTTTCACTTTCCATATTTATGAATGTTGACAACCAGGAGTAATTGTGCACTGTTTCAAGGTGAATTTCCTCATCAAATAGCATGTATTCTACTCACAAAAAAATTAATCAAAGCTGAGAAAAACATTTTGATCCTTCCCCTGAAAATCAAAGACTTAACGTGTTTTTATATTTCAAAATTCACTCACTAAATCCAAAACTATGTGCATACAGTGACTATTAACAGCAAATGGGAGGCCATAGACGATTCTTTTACATCTTTTTTTGCTTTAAGTTTTCTTTGATGCAGTCACATGGGGATGTAAATGCCCCATTGTTTCCTTATAAGCATTTAAAAACAAGAATAGAGATATTTAGATGCTATTTTAGATATTTATGCTTCCCGTGTCTATTGACTTAAGCACCAACATGTCAGGTGTGGTTACATCCTTTTTTTTATATGTGAAAATACAAGTTTTTTCAACAGCATGAGATATATAGTGTGTGCACAACATTTATTATCTGATCTGAACTTAATACTGTAGCAAAAATGTCTCTTTTTGTCACCTTTTGGTCATGTAAACAATTATTTTTAAAGCTATTCTGAAAGCTCAAACATATTTAAACCCCAGCTCTGACATACATTCACACAGTACGGTTGATGATTTAGATTTTTATGACGGAATAAAATGTCTGCAGATACACAGCGAGGGTGGGAAGTGCTGCAGTCGTAAAAAAGAGGAGGCTTCATATGCGGCTGTGTGAGAACGGAGACTCCCTCCAACAGAGGCAAGAACAACACAGTCACAGTACACAATTGCGGCTTTACAAACATTTAAAACTAGAACGTTTTATTAATTTTTCTATAAAATCTGAAGTTTTTAGAAATATATACAAACGTTCCCTTGTGCTATAAAACAGCAAAGACAGAAAAAAAAAGGAAAACTCAACTGCGTGTACAAATAACTTTTCAATAACGAGTGCTTGATTAATTTATGGCATGGATTTGCCTCACAATGGGCAGTTCGTAAGGTCTTGAGCGCTTTTCAACAGCTGCTCTCACTCCAGTTCAAACATATATGACACTGCCTCGATTTCCATTAAAAAGCCTCCAAACACAACACTCATCTCTCTGACCATTTGCCTGCTTTGTCTGCGGGGTCCTTTCATTGTCTGTAATCTGTCACTAACAGTACAAGTGTCTTTTTTTGCCTGTAAGGAAAACATCTATTGCACATTATTCAAGTAACCCCATAGCACATCCAAATGGTTTATTCCACTCTTTTTGTCTTGGTAACAATAAGATTTTTTTTTCTCTACCAAGTTCCTCAATAGGATAAGTGAATCCAGGAGTAGCAGATTTTTTTCTCAAACAAAGGCAGCTCTTGTTGCATGAGATGGCTCAAGATACAAAAAAACCCCACGTTGCATGATCTTCAATGGAGTTTGCATAAATAAAACAGAAACCTTGATGCTTTTGATGGCCTTCTGATTACAAAGTCTCGTTTAGGTAAGGGCTTTACACATATTTTTAGGTTTGTACAAAGATATCCAGCTCATACACATGTTGGAGGGGGCCGTGTAGGCTCATACTTAGTACTGTGCCCTTTGAGAGATGGGTGAGGTTTGATGTAAGGCCTGCTGCTGGTGAACACACTGGCAGCCTTCCTCCTCGTCCTCTTCTTTAGCTTCCTGCTGAACACATTCTGCCAGGACTGCAGTGTCTTTGAGGTCCAGATCCACATGCCGCTGGTGATGCCCACCACCAACAGCATGAAGATCTTCACCATGAAGATCTCAACAGCGGGGATGGAATTCTTCATGGCACACTCGTCCGACTCCGGCCCGTTGTTGTCCACGCACTTCTGCTCCGCTGCCAGGATCCGCCAGTAGTCCATGTTGAGCCTCTCGTAGAAGTAGCAGGCGATGACGCAGGTGGCGGGGACAGTGTAGAGCACAGAGAAGACCCCGATGCGAACCATGAGCTTCTCGAGCTTGTCTGTGTTCTCTCCCTCTGTTTTCATTATCTTACGGATGTGGAAGAGGGCCACAAAGCCCGACAGCAGGAATGAAGTGCCAATAATAAGGTAGCAGGAGAGGGGAATGAGCACGAAGCCCGTGAGAGCTTTGACGTCCATGCTGCCCACGTAGCAGACGCCCGTCAGCTCATCCCCCGCCACCTTCCTCATCACCAGGATCATGATGGTCTTTACGGCCGGGATGGCCCAAGCTGCCAGGTGGAAGTAGCTGCTGTTGGCCTCGATGGCCTCGTGACCCCACTTCTTCCCCGCTGCCAGGAACCATGTGAGGGTTAGGATAACCCACCAGAGGGAGCTGGCCATGCCAAAATAATACAGGATGAGGAACACAATAGTGCAGCCGGTGCTCTCCAGACCCTCCTGGATAATATACTGGACCCCATTGTCTCTGTCACAGGCTATTCTGTCAGCTCCCACAAAGAGTCGGATGAGGTAGCCCACAGAGTAAACACAGTAGGACATAGAGAGGAAGATGATCGGCCTCTCCGGGTATTTGAATCTCTGCGGGTCTATGAGGAAAGTGAGCACGGTGAAGGCGCTGGAGACAAAGCAGAGGATGGACCAGATAGCCATCCACACCAGAGAGAACTGCTTGTCTCCCTGGCTCCAGTATACATCCACTTTAGGGTAGCATTTAGGGGCACAGGACTCACTTTTCTCCACAAAGTGGAACTTGCCAGGATTGCTGCAGGTCTGCTTGCTGCTGCTGTCCTTAAGGTGCAGGTCCTGGCCGCTCAGAGGCCGCTGTGGCCTGAAATCTGGAGGCTGGGTGTGGAATACTTTGGGAGGCTCGTCTGAGCCGTTGTTGGGCGCCTCCATGCAGAGGTTGTTTGGGTCGTTTTTGGTCGGCAGCCGGGAGCAGTCCAGAGAGTCAGGCCAAGGGAAGTTAAACTGCTCCAAGATAGGTGAGCATTTCAGCTTGACCTGCTCACACATCACTCTGCATGCTGGGATGGGGTTGGACACCTGCTCTGTGCACATGGGGGCATACAGGGAACACAGGAAAAATTTGAGATGGCTGTGGCATCCAAACTGTATCAGCGTGGCAAACTCCTGCAGCTTTATCGCTGCCTCTTTTTGGTCATCGTGGCCCATGAGATTTGGCATGCGAGTCATGTTGTAGCCAATGTCTTTACACTGGGGGATGTTGATCTGTTGACATCTCCCCTCTCCTGACCAGTCCGGGTCTACAGAGCTAATGGCTGACCCCCCACCGCTCCACAGCACCAGCAGCACACAGATGAGGCTCAGTTGAACAGTTGAACGCATTCTCTTCTCTTTGATTTAAAGAAAAAAAAACAAAAAACAGCCCAAATGTTCACCACAAAACACAAGTTTCTTTCATTAAAAAGTCAGAGATGAAACCTGGCTGTGTCAGATAAATGTGGAAAAACTTACACAACTATCTGTTGCAGGACCAAGTCCTCATTTTAGGTTTGGAGGGTTTAATTAAAACAGAAATCCAGCAACAGTCCGAGCATGTTTTCTGGCTGGAAGTAGCGCGCCTTCAGGTCCATGCTTTCATGCGCTCTCCCAAGTGTTGGATCTACTTGTTCAGCCTCTTGCGCCGTGTATCAGTCAGCAGAGAGTACAACAGAGTGGCTATGTGCTCCGATTTGTTCCCTGCTCGTTCCCACAAGACTCACTTTCCCGTCCTCACGTTTCATGTCACTTTTCCGGAGTCTCTGTCTCCGTATCGGTGCGATATCACTCCTTCTGCGACAACTTGGAAAAAAACAACAAAAATAATTCTCCTCCGGTCCTTATTTGTGCGGCAGGGATGGCTGCTCAACAAGGCACCGAAACAATCAGTCAGTCAGCAAAATAAGTGCAATAAAGATCCTCGCTGATTCTAATAAATGTGTCCCAGAAACACAGGATCACGCTCCTCCTGCGAGCAGCCAGTTGATGCGTTTGGTGGCAGCGCTCGTCTGAGCTGGTCGGAGCCTCCGTCCCGGTCTAACCTGCCAAAAGATCCGCCTTCAAAGACAGCTACTTTGCATAAGAAAGATGACACTGACACGCGGATTATTTTCAAATCGTGCGGAACAGCTTGTTCATTACAGCAGATTCAAAGGCTCACAGCGAACTTCCTTCTCTCTGTTTGTTTGTGCTCAGGCACAAAACTTCGACTACGACAGGACAGAGACACGTTTTATGAGATTCCCAAAATGTTGCGCAATATGGCTCACAGGCGCACCGAGGCGCACCAGAACCACAGCTTTGGTTAATTGCACATGGGAGACTCTTTTATTCTTTTACTCCCTGTTAATGCTTCCCCCCAAGTTTTAGAGTTCACCTCACCTCCCATAAAATAGCAGATAAAACGCTGACAAACAGATCATATCTACAGTTTTTAAATCTGTGCTTTTCTGTGCAGTTGATCAACATTTTCTTACATGTTTCGGACCAGTGCAACCTTTGATTTTCATATATATTTCTAATTATGCCTAAAATTATGAGAGAATCCATAAGAAAACTAGTTTGATATTGTCCCTTCTGCACAGAAAGACATGATTGAACCTGCATGTGTCTAAACACTGAGATGAACATTTAAAAGTAATGATACTTTTAGATGTTAAAATACTGTGTTACATGTAAAGAAATACACTACAGTAGTATTAATAGCAAAAGTATATAAAGTAAAGTACTCATTATGCAGACTGGCCTCTATCAGAGTAGTATATTATTATATATTGTATTTGAAGCATTTGTAGTGTTTAAATCTTGCAGCTTCTCTTGCAGGTTGAGGTGGAGTTGAGCTACTTTATATACTGTTTTTATAGTTTACTCAGTAAAAATGCATCATATTTAATTAGTTGATATACGTCAGAGCCCAAAGAAACTTGAAACAGAAAGTACAAAGTATAAAACTTAAGTATATAAGTACAGGTACCTCAAATTGGCCCTTAGGTACAGTGCTTGAGTAAATGTTAAACGTTACTTTCCATCACTGACAACGTCTTTTAGACTGACAGGAATCATCCACAGTAAAACATATGATGATCATAGATTAGACCCTTCAATACCATACCAGCCAAATTAAAGCTGATCAGTTTAAGATGAAAATGATGACATGAATGAGGAATGTAAATGAGGCAAAGACCCACTGACTGTGAAAACAAGCTGCAGATGGGTTTACCCCATTTTTATAACTCAATTCAATGCTTTACTCATTCCACATAGGCAAACAATATCCACTCACACCAAGAAGACAATAGAAGCAAAACAGTTTAAAATAACATCTGTAGTCTGTTGACAAAGAGAGTGTCTGCACACTGTATGAAACTTCAGCGTGTTGATAAAAGCGTATCCCATTTAGGATCCGTTTAGAGTTTAGTCGTGCAGAGATCAGCGTGTTCTGGCCAATATTGTTAGTGCGAAATTCAACAACACGCTGGAGTCATTTCCTGTCTTTTTCAATGATGGAAGTGATCCAATAAACAAATAAGAAGGTTAAATTCCTTTTAAAAATCAGCCTAAAGTGTTGACATTGTTCCATTGTGAAGCTACGAAGAGCTTGCATCAATAATTCAGCTTCCGTTTTTCACTTTCACATCTATATTCTCGCAAATTTTGGTGTTTTCCCCATTTTGCCAGGTTGTCCATTTCCTCAGTTGTGTTACACTAAAATGATCTCTCATGACTATCTACAGTGTTTTACGCTTTAACCAAATTAGCTCAGACTGATATCACAAATGAACCCTTAAATACACCCTTATTTTAGAATTTTAAATCACGGAAAACTCTCCATGTGTCCTCTATGAATCATTTATTACAGTCACTGATTCTGAAAGTTTGTTCCACAGTGAGTGCTGAGCTGCTGGCCTTACAGACACTGACAGTTGTTTCAGTCTTTATTTCTTTACAAGCTTCAATTTTTAGGTTAAACGTTTCTCCGAGTGTTCGTGGGACTTCGCTCCAGAGAGTATTTCTGTGCGTGAAGATTTACTATACTGTAAATATTATCAATAGGCTGGGTGATGAAACATTCTCATAAATCAGAGAAAGATATTTCTAATAAAAGATTAATGAATTCATCATATTACTCAACAACATTCATACAGAGCTGCGTCCAACTCAGTGGCCGCTTTTGGGTGGAGGAAGAGGCACTAACAAGTGTTGGTTGGCGGTGATTCACTTCAGCTTCCTCTAGAATAAATGTTTTTCTTTTGAGATTATTTTTTTTATGATTGCACGATGAATCAGTGGAGTGGAGTTTTTTGCATCTTGACCTCATGTGTTGGTTTCCTTCTAGTGCCACTACGCTTTCCTCTCACGCTCCAGAGTTGTGCAGTTTTGGGTGAAATCTCCCCATGAGTATGGATGTGTTGCACTCACTATCTGGCCTGTAGCTACCATTGAGCAGGGACGCTGGAAGTCAGTCAGAATTGGGATAAATGCTAATGCTAAATGCATGGCATTCATGGTTTTGTACATTCATTTAAATGGCCGGGATCAATTCTAGCCTATTTAATAGTTATTACTATTGCTATTACTCTATAAAAACCCCTTTCCTGTAATAAAAAACAGTGTACACATTTAAATCTCAGTAAAAAAGTTATTATAAATGTAACCATTTTTATGAACTAATGGTTTTTATTATGCCAGATTTTAGGGGGTGCTGCAGCCCCCTTAGCACCGCTACTTCCAGCACCCATGCCTTTGAATTTAAATAAAAATGTTCCAAGTCAAACATTTTCCAGCACCTCTTTCTGCTCTTGTCTTGCACACACCATTGTTAGTGGTGTAGCAACCACCAAATGTAAAACTGGCTAACCCACACACAAATGATAATAATTACATCTGTGCAGTGAGCTACAACACAATTTCCATCTATGTATTGTCACTGACATTATTTCCTATGTGATAGTTACCCTCAAAATGCATTGCCCTACCAGGGCTAGGACTCACTGATTTCTAAAATTCCTGGCTACAGCCCTGCTCACTATGTAGGCGTTACCTTGTGATAAACTGCCCGGTCTATATCCTGTCTCTTGCATGGGGCAGGCTCCAGCCCCCTGTGACCCTGGACAGGATAAGTGCCTCAGAAAATGAATGGATGGACAGGCTTTTATTAGCCTGTTAAAGCGAAACAATTCCTGTAGAGAGCTGGCCTACATGGGACACAGCAGCTCCAAAGTCACAGCGCGTCATAAAATAAACCCAACGCAACATATCCACACACAGACTGCTGCAATAAACGGCATAAGCGAACCCTGATGATGCATTGTTGCTACAGTGAGTAAAAGCTCCATCTTGGTTTTATGTTGCGTCGGAGGCTGAGAGAGGAGCCGGTTATGAGGCCTTCTTCACTTTTTTATGTGTGAGATCCTCCAGACCTCACTCGCATTACCTTGTAAAAAGTTTGTGGCGGTAAGATTTAGACTCTGGCCCGGGCCATGGTCTTCATCAAGGGTGAAATACTGATCACAAGCAAACAGGAGTGCTTTTAGTATGTTTTTACTAGAGCCACTAAAGTGCTTTTAGAAGTATTTCAGAAATGTGTCCGGGCAAGATGAGAAACCTGGCACCAGCGTGCCTAAATGGTTTAAGCACAGCGTATCTTAGTGGTGGCATTTCAGCTGTTAGCGCTCAGTGTGTGGAGCAGCAGCATAAATATAGGGTATGAATACACTTTTGAACACAATGCCCTCCTCCTATGCAGCACATGTGCTTCTCAGATATCTAGCTGTTAACGTTTGAAGACGTTTGGTCCAAACTTGAGGAGAAAATGTCTGTCCATCACTTCATTTCACAAAGTCATATTATTATATTTAATTGTTCAGCTGCTAATGTGCTCCCATTTCCTGCCTTTTAATTAAAATGATTTTGGTGGGAAACTCATCATGATATGCGAATCATTTTCCTTTGTCAAAAAAGAGCCCAGATGCAGTAGCAGCATGCATTTCATACATCCTGACCCCTCACAAAGACAAGGACAACAGCTGACATGCCTGCCCGGTCCCCCCCCCCACTAGACTTTTATAATGGAGCTGACGTGTAGGAGTAGAACAAAAAGAGATGACAGCTTTAATGTGAAGAAGAATAATGTAATATCAATGCAGAGCAGAGCCGCGGCCAGCTCTGCTCTCCATTTACTGATCATCCGGCTTTCAGGAAACCCTGTCTGGCATATTTTAAAGCAAATATCTGCCCTTATTATCGCTGCCTTTGGTGTAATGAAGCTGACAAGATAATGCTGTCACACAGTCTAATAAGAAGACACAGTCTACTGGTTTGTTGTAATTCCTCGCCTTTGTTCTGTCTTTCCTCCTGCCTCCCTCTCTTTCATGATTGTTTTGCTGGTCATGATGATATCTCTTTGAAAATGAGAAGAAAAGGGGAGGAATCGGGCCTGTTCACTCTTTAGCATCTGTAGCCACTGCAGCTACCACTCTCTTTTATGATTTTTTTTCTCGTCTACCACCCCTTGTTTTCATATACAACCCCCTCCTATATAGCTCATTTCTACTCACACATGTGCATAACACACACACACACACACACACACAGAAACTTTATCTCATCTTTGCGAGCCCAACAGTGCGATGAAGAAAAGCAGCGCAGCTCCATCTCTGAGAAATCAGCAACTGTGAGATAATTCTGTAACTAATAAAGTGAAAAGGGGGGGCCCTTTGATGGCTGAAGCTGAAAAGATATTTTATTTTTTTGTGTGTGGGATTTGCGATGTGTGATTCTATGGAGCGGGCTCGCTCCCCTGCTGCTAGGCTCTGGCTGGAAGCTGGCCCCCCTCTGGCTAATGTTATGGAGAATCGGAGGAATTTTATGGCTGTCTTTTCCCTCAGCCCCCTTTTTTCTTTTGTTCCCCTTTGAAGAATGACTTTAGACATTTTATTTACATATTTAAGCATGGATGAAAGAAATGAAGGGTGAGGAAGCAAAGCTCCTTGGATTCTTAAGGGAATTTTGATCAGTAAAAATGAGTAGGAGCTAATAAATTTTTGTTTGCGTAGCCTGGAATTAGATGGGTATCAGACATGCCATATGATGGTGACATTTCTGGAAATGACGCCGTCAGTTCTTTGATAGGAAACATGATCTACTCACACCAACTCTGTATCAGTGAGAGTAATCACAGCATTCCTCTTAATTGCTTTGGTTAGATG